AAGAGAAGAACTTGGAAAATTCCTGAGATTTTCAGTGGACTGAAAAAAGGATTTATATAAATAAACACAAATAAATAATATATATGTTTATGCATAGATATGGCAACTACTAAAACCTTCTTTTCAGAAACATCATATATGCGTGTGCATGTTTGGGTCATGAAAAAAAGAAGAGAAAGGGAGTGAGATTTTATGTTGCAAGTGAATATCATCCCAAGAAAATTGTTGTTAACCAGCCTATGTTAGCAACATTTTCAGGTGTAATCCAAATTTATATGAGTAACATATTGTTTTAGTTTATTTAAAATACATATTGTTAATAACTGTTTTGCGGACGTTGAGTTTTACTATGAAAACAAACTGCAAAAATAAATGTTATTTATAATTGAATCTAGAAGTCATCGAAACGCACAATATCGCATATTCTTGAATAAATTCTTATTTCATTTTTGATACTTGTATTGGGGATTCTTTCTACTCTATAAATTTCATTAATCTTTCGTTACTTTTCTTACTAATTCGTAATCGCATTAATTGTAACAGTTCTCCTGTTTCCCGGGGCTCTTTCCTTCGGCTTATTATAATTTCCTCGACTCATTACAATTTTTATTACGGTTTTTTCGTTATAACAATGGGTTTTTATGACTAAAGCTTCAATGCTGACATGAAAAAACAAAAACAAAAAAATGTTAATAGTTCATATCATCGTAACGGACCCCTGAAATCTAGACAGAGTGCTATAACAGAAGTGTCCAGTTAAATTCAGGACTCTCCACTTTAATTCAGTAATGTCCAGGACAATTCAGGATTGTCCAGGACAATTCAGGAATGTATAGGTCAAATTAGGACTGTCCAGATCAATTCAGGACTCTCCACTTTAATTCAGTAATGTCTAGGTCAATTCAGGACTGTCCAGATCAATTCAGGACCGTTCAGATCAATTCAGGGCTGTCCAGATCAATTCAGGACTGTCCACTTTAATTCGGTAATGTCCAGGTTAATTTAGGACACTCCAGATCAATTCAGTAATGTCCAGGTCAATTCAGGGCTATCCAGATCAATTCATGACTCTCCACTTTAATTCGGTAATGTCCAGGTTAATTTAGGATACTCCAGATCAATTCAGTAATGTCCAGGTCAATTCAGGGCTATCCAGATCAATTCATGACTGTCCACTTTAATTCAGTAATGTCTAGGTCAATTCAGGGCTGCCCAGATCAATTCAAAAATGTCCAAATTAAATATTAAACATATATTTTACTTGGATATTGTTTCCCATTCTCATGTAAATATATATATTTTTTTAATTATGGCTTACAAGTCATCGATTAATATATGAGAAGATTCGGCAGGCATTCTATTAATTTCGTGACTCTGAAATCTTTTTAATAACGTGGGCAATAATCACCTTTGCTGAATATGAATGAGCATTGTCTTGCAAAAAATATTCTTCGCTACAATGTGTACCACGCAAAAACAACTTATCCAAAGATATTCTTTTCATTTATCTTAACATCATCATCAACATTTAAAGCACCTATAATTTTACTACGTACAATACTAACACAAAGCATTAATTTGACTGCCTCCTCCCAACATCTAGCCTGATTAGCATATCCAACCAATGTAGCTCTAATTTCATCTTTCTTCATACAAAATGCGATAGGTAAATTGTCGCTATTTGATATTTTTAATTTCGCGCATGTGCGTTATTTGTTTCTGATTTTGTCGACTGTACAGTATAGTTAGGGTCAATTGGACAACGTCTGTGAGTTAAAGAGCACCACGACGCAATTCACTTCGCCAGAAATTTGAAAACGGTATGCTATACCGCATTCGCCCGGAAGCTACAGTAGGAACATTTCAGAGTGTTTAGGTGCCAATCTGTGGACAGTGCAGAGGATTCGGAAAGACTTTGATGGGTCTAATGGTGATTATGAAGGCCCGGAGGTTCGGAAAACTCACTCTGATAAGAAAAGAACACCCGGATTTGTTGGTAAGGGCCTCAGACTCAACACAAAGTGCCTTGAGGAGTTAGTGCTGCCCTAGGTAAAAAGAGAATTCTGGAAGATCCCATGTCTGGCAACAGGACTGTGCACCATGCCACACAAACAGGAGAACCCAGGCATGACCGTCAGACAATTTCTGCGACTACATCACCCCTTACATCTGTCCATCTAATTACCCAGACTGCAACCTCCTTCATTATTATGGGTGGGGCGCAGTTGAACGAAAGGCCAACAAAACTCCTTGTAACAGCAAAGACGAACTGAAGGCAAGGATTGTGACAGCATTCACCAACCAAGGAGAACGTCCAGAAGAGTTGCAGAAGATTCAGAAGTTGTCTGGAGGCCGTTTTTGAAGCCAATGGCGATTTTATTGAATAAGTTTATTCTTTAGTATTTCAAGATATTTTTGTGTAATTTTGGTAAATATATCTGTTAAAATGAGATGTCAGTATTATTAAGATTTTTGCGTAATTTAGACCAGGGATCAGCAACCTTTTACTAACTATGTGCCGACTTAGGCTTTTAAAATCATTCACTGTGCCAACAGCATACGTATTTTTATACAAGTCAAGGTCAATATACTTGTCGAGGCCTGGAATGGAACTGAGTTCCAATAGACGTCCAAAAGAAGGAGTCTATCTGCTTGGTGAAGATGAAATGTTACTCCGTTAGTTTTGAACGTATTTGCGTTTATCATGCACTATTCGACATCGTTTGATTGTCGAGGTGCTCCACGGCAGAGACAGTCTAAAGCTTGGCTTGGTAACCTTTTGATAACAATGTGATGACTTAGGGTTTTAAAATCATTCAGTGTGCCAACAGCATACGTATTTTTATACAAGCAAAGGTCAGTATATCTGTTCTACAATACATTTTATATAGTAATATAAAGTATATATACTTTAGTATATTTTAAAATTGAAACAGCTAAATATCTTCTTTGCGTTGTAGTAATTATTGGTTCGGACTTCGTGTTGTCATTTGCAGCTGCTTGTCTTTGGAAATTGCTTGGCGTGTCGTAAGTAGCCGACTCTTGATTTAGACCACAATTTATCCATCGCACCCAGCCTGTATATAATTGTATTAGTTTGAAATAATACACACACACACACATATATATATATATATATATATATATAGTTACATATCTCTGAATTAATATACTAAACGTTCTTTATACTTTTTATATTTGCATCTTCAATTATTTTCCTACTGATCGATACACTATTATTATTACAATTTTACATTTTCTCGAATCCCTTTTTTGCGAATTCTTGAAGCAATTTTTCTTTTATTTTTTTTTTTATCGTGCAAATTTTTTCTTCTTTGATTTTCTATAATACTAGTAACTTTCCGATATTGTGTCGCCATAATCTGTTTGACCTTTGAGGTCATCAAGTTTTAGAAATCATGCCAGTATTTATATACCTGGAATTTAAAGAAGTAAATCTCAACAAAGATAGTAATAATTTTATTTATTTAAAATAGGCGGAACATCCTTCAAGATTTCACACCACCTAAGAAATTAATATAAATATTTCTACTAAAAAACCTTATATGCAGAAATTCACATGGCATATATATCCAATAAACATATACAGAAGATTCTACCTACATTATTGAGATAAAAATAATTTAAATGTAAAAATATTGACTTGCATAATTATATCTGATATAAAGCAGATTATATATATATATATATATATATATATATATATATATATATAATTGTGCATTTTGGCAACAATTATTTTTTTACACAAGTTTCTTTAAGACGACTGACAAGGTAATAGGATTAATATTTTTTCCTTTACTTCTTTTCTGGGCATAGAGCCCAAATGATCTGAATATGTAGATTTTATACATACATACATACGTACATATATAGATGGTAATTTTTTGAATTTCCGAGAACAGTAAGCATATGGTGGCCCTGATCATAATTTATATTGTTGAGACTTGGCTTCTTTTTATTAACATTTCATATATATATATATATATATATATATATATATATATATTAATTCAAATAATTATATTGAAGTTTTCGGCTCTTGTTTTGAAACATGAGACCTCTTATGTCGCCAGTTGGAATCATATTTTTAAATAAATAATTATATTTATGCTCTACTTTTGTATCGAGCACTATGTTTTAAAAATAATAACTAAAATACTAAGGAACTTTGGATTATTTACCTATTTCTTTCCTAATTTCTATATATTTTCACACACACACACACACACACATATATATATATATATATATATTGGTAAAATTGACGCCAATTTCACTATCTTACGCATAATGATAGATAGATAGATAGATAGATAGATAGATAGATAGATAATGAACAGAGCGAAATAGATAGATAGATAGATAGATAGATAGATAGATAGAGAGAGAGAGAGATAATGAACATAGATAGATAGATAGAGAGAGAGATAGAGACAGATAGAGAGATAATGAACAGAGATAGATAGATAGAGAGAGAGAGAGAGATAATGAACAGAGTCAGATAAATAGGTAGTTACGTAGGTAAGTAGAAAGATAGATCGATAGATAGATAGATAGATAGATAGATAGATAGATAGATAGATAGATAGATAGATAATGAACAGAGCGAGATAGAGAGAGAGAGAGAAAGAGATAATGAAGAGAGATAGATAGATAGATAGATAGATAGATAGATAGATAGATAGATATATAATGAACAGAGATAGATAGATAGATAGATAGATAGATAGATAGATAGATAGATAGATAGATAATGAAGAGAGATAGAAAGATAGTGAGAGAATGATAGATAATGAACAGAGTGAGATAAATAGGTAGTTAGGTAGGTAAGTAGATAGATAGATAGATAGATAGATAGATAGATAGATAGATAGATAGATAACGTATAAACTGATAGATTCCAACAGGCTGCGCTAGAAGTGTTGTTAGTTATATTTATACAAAGTCTCAGTATTCTTTGAAGAAGACGATAGTCCATGAGCAAAAATATGCCTGCGATGTAAGTTATATATTTCTTTATTAGGACTTATATCCATCTTTTTTTTTATTTCTTTATTTATTATTACAACTATTTGACGTTTTTAAAGGAAGAGTCCTTTGGGGGCTGTGACTGTACAAATATCCAACCCCCAACCGAAGTTGCTGATTGGCTAGTGACTGATAGTTTGGTAGGCAAAAGTCAATAGAAAGCAGTAAAACCCCACCCAACTTACGCTTCTTATTTTCATTTCCAGTTCTCTCTCTCCCTCAATTTTTTCATTTCTCTCTTCCTCCCCCCCTCTCTCTCTCTCTCTCTCTCTCTCTCTCTCATTTTTTTCATTTGCCATTCTCTCCCTATTTCGTTTCGTCTTTCTAAATATATTTTCACCATGTTGAATTAACAATGTTGAATCAAACGAGATTCTGTAAGGCAAGGGCAAGTTAGGAGCTTCCCGAAAAGAAAACAATGAAAAAAGAAACGCCTAGGCAATTAGGAAAGTAAAAACCGTAGATGTAAAAAGGAAGAAATTATAAAGAAAAAAAAAACTTCTCTTCTTTCGTTCAGAGTGGGTCACAGCAGAAAAAAAAAGGAGGGTTGGACATTCAGGGTAAGGAAGTATGAATAACCAATCGGAGTTTAGGGTGGTGTTTCTGAAATCACCCTAACAACATCTGGACTCACTTAGGTTTACATACAAGTCAACTGTCTGACACCACAGTTATCTCCCCTTTTTCATCTTCAACCGAACTTCCACAAATTGCTTCCTCTTCGTCTCTTTCACATTTACAACACTTTCGTTTTCATTCTTTTTCTCTTTTATATTTCCTCTTTCTCTATCTGTATCTCTACCTTTCTCTTTCTCTCATTCTTGTTCTCATTCATATTCCCTCTCTCCCTATCTCTATCTTCTCTTTTTCTCTCTCATTCTTTTTCTCTTTTATATTTCCTCTTTCTCTATCTGTATCTCTACCTTTCTCTATCTCTCATTCTTGTTCTCATTCATATTCCCTCTCTCCCTATCTGTATCTTCTCTTTTTCTCTCTCATTCTTGTTCTCTTTTATATTTCCCTCTCTCTCTCTATGTGTATCTTCTCTTTTTCTCTCTCATTCTTCTTCTCTTTTATATTTCCCTCTCTCTCTCTCTATCTGCATCTTCTCTTTTTCTCTCTCATTCTTCTTCTCTTTTATATTTCCCTCTCTCTTTCTCTATGTGTATCTTCTCTTTTTCTCTCTCATTCTTCTTCTCTTTTATATTCCCTCTCTCTCTCTATATCTGTATCTTCTCTTTTTCTCTCTCATTCTTCTTCTCTTTTATATTCCCTCTCTCTTTCTCTATGTGTCTTCTTTTTCTCTCATTCTTCTTCTCTTTTTATATTTCCCTCTCTCTCTCTATATCTGTATCTTCTCTTTTTCTCTCTCATTCTTGTTCTCTTTTATATTCCCTCTCTCTTTCTCTATGTGTATCTTCTCTTTTTCTCTCTCATTCTTCTTCTCTTTTATATTTCCCTCTCTCTCTATATATCTGTATCTTCTCTTTTTCTCTCTCATTCTTGTTCTCTTTTATATTCCCTCTCTCTTTCTCTATGTGTATCTTCTCTTTTTCTCTCTCATTCTTCTTCTCTTTTATATTCCCTCTCTCTCTCTATATCTGTATCTTCTCTTTTTCTCTCTCATTCTTCTTCTCTTTTATATTTCCCTCTCTCTCTCTCTATCTGTATCTTCTCTTTTTCTCTCTCACTCTTGTCCTCTTTATCTATATTTTCTTTTTCTCATTCTTGTTCTCTTTTATATTGCTACTTTCTCTCTCTCTATCTTCTCTTTTTCTTTCTTATTTTGGTTCGCTTTTATCTTCGCTCTTTCTCTATCTGCATCTCTCTCTCTCTCTCTCTCTCTATCATTCTTTTCCTTCGAGCTGACTAAATAATAATTATTTCTACGTTTTTATCTTTCTCTATCTCTTTTTCCTTTTGTCTCTCGTTTTCTCCCTCACTTCCTCTCTCTCTCTCTCTCTCTCTCTCTCTCTCTCTCTCTCTCTGCATGTACATTTTTTATATTGCTAAGCTTGTAGCCATTACTCTAACATTTGATCTATCTCTATCATTCTGTTCATATCTATCTATCTATCTATCTACCTTTCTATGTTTCTTCGTTCAGTTTCATTTCTCTCCTTCTCTGTCTCTTTCTCTCTGCTTCTATCACATTCTCATATGACCGTTTCTACTTCTTTTTTTCAGTCCTTCTCATTCCTCTTTCTCTCACCCTCTTTCTCCCTCTCTCTCTCTCTCTCACACACACACCCTCCCTCTCAACCGCTCTCTTTCCTAAACACACTCACACATAATTTGTTTAACTCTTACACTTTCTCCCTTTTTTATTATTTTTTCTTCTCACAGCCTTCCCGACTTCAAACATTTTACTTTTTTTAATCCTTCTCTCAGTTTGCTTATATCTTACTGCTTAATTTCAATTAAGAAAAAAAAAGGCAGGGTGAGGGACGTGTTGGAAATTGCCTGACACACATTCGTTCGACCCTTACATCTTCAATTAGCGCCCTTTTTCTCTTTCCTGCTTTCTTTCTTTATTTTTATGCATAGAATTTTTTTTTTTTTAGATATCTGCCAGAAAGCATGAAATATTTTTTTTCAAGGAATGTCGGAAGAAATGTTATAGGCTTCGCAATTCGCCAGTTTTGTGACTGAGTCCAGAATGTTGGACAATAAATGAAATTGCGTACTTCTGGTAAAATTATTGAAAAACTTATTTTGGATAATATCTACAAAGGTTTCCACAGGCTTACTTACCTATTTAACTGCTTATCAGGCAATCAGTCTGTGATCACACAGATCAATCACACAGTATAGATCAATCATTCAACCGTCACTATCTCTTTTTTTAATATCTATCTATCTATCTATCTATCTATCTATCTATCTATCTATATATATATATATATATATATATATATATATATATATATATATCATAAAGAATTTATACAAAGAATTAAATAGCAATATTAAAGTGATTAATGGGGAAATCTATTCGCTTTTTGACATTGATCACATTTAATTGCTATTTAATTCGTTTTAAAATATTTCTTTATGATATAAAATATAAGCTGCATACTCTTATATATATATATATATATATATATATATATATATATATATATATATATATATATATATAAAAACCTCCAACACGAGTAACGCAAAAGTAGCTACGTAAAGTACTCAATACGCTAAGTCGAGAAAACCTTAATATGAACCTAAAGAGCCAGGTAAGCCTACCTAGGTTTCACCTATACGGATCGTCAGGGTCAAATGGTCAGTTGACCTGACGATCTGTATAGGTGAAACCTAATTAGGCTTACCTGGCTCTTTAGGTTCATATTCATATATATATATATATATATATATATATATATATATATATATATATAAAATCAATAAACAATATTATTCGTCGATGAACATATTTGAGTGAACATCTATATTTTTATGCAGTCAAAATAATGTCAACTAGAGTAGAAATAGAAAGTCTTATTAAAGCAAATGTATGAATATGCATTCTCTTCTCTTGGTCACCTTTTAGCCAGGTGTCATTTACTGTTCGGCCACCGAAGTCTCTACAGCAAAGCAAGGTTCATGTCACGTGGAGGTTTTTCGATGTCTATATCTGTTAAGCATATTGATGGATTTGAAGAGTACTTAGCTCAACTGCTATGCTTTACCTTTAAAAGAGTCGAATCAAACTGAAAGGCACGGTGGAATAAAGGATAACGACTCGGATTGAGAAATCGGAGAGCAGAGTTCGAATTCCACTGAAATCCATTACATTCACTTACGTGTTATTACCCTTGGGAAAGGTATGAATCCTCTTCTCCTCCTCCCCCACCAGCTATGAGTAAATAGCAAGACAAGACCGGGTTCTATAGCCTTGGATAACAACTGGTCTACCGGAGAAATTAATGGCAACCTACTACGGAACAAAATCTGCCTCGTTAGTCATGTATCACGTATGCCATATCTATACTGGAGCTTCGCAGTCCTAACTTTATCACCAGCGTCAGACGCCGCCTCATAGGTGATGAATTTTTTCGCACAGACGAAACATCGCACTTCTCTTGCTCGTCTATCGCTATTTCAATTGCAAATGTTCTGACGCAATACATTCCTTATTTCCACTAGTTCGCCATTCCCTTCATGAGTAAAAACGAAGTACCATTTGAATAGCCTCTTCCTATGAGTCACTACTTCGTGGAACCGATTCTCAAGAAGATACTTTCTCAACCGCTATAATCTTAAACTCTGAAAGTTTAATCGCTATCTTTCCCATATATCTTCTAGTCTGTTACTCTTAATACTCCTTTGAGTGGCTCTCGGGCCTCGTATAGGGTGAAGATTGGTTAAAAAATGTT